CCTCACTGCCTCAAATAACTGTGAAGCAGCGGAAGACGGGTGCCCAAATAAAGGCAAATGGAAACTCACAAATAGCCAGTCATTCATCTTCCTAGAAAGGCAAATGTAGTTCACGAACAGGAAAACAGATTAGGTTTCCAGGAAGATCTACTGAGCTCTAGCTTGGAGGCCAGAAGAGGGTGACACCTCCATTCCTTTACCCATGATGCCTGGTTTCTGCTGGCCTGCGGCTTCAGGTGACTACTCTTTTCCATTTTTCTCCTCGCCATGGATTTTGATCTTTGCTAACTCTCAACTTTTCTTTTCACTTTAAGCTAGGTCTCATTCTGTAAACTTAGTTGTTCCTTTGTAGACCAGGCTGACCTCAAACTCAGATTCTCCTACCTCTGCCTCTAGAATACTGGGATTAAAGGCATGCATCACTACACCCAGCAATTTTTCTCATTTGTAATTTCTACTTACTCAGATTTCAGCCTACACAGAGCCTGTGCTGCCCCAAAGCCTCAGTGTGTGTTTTTAGCATCTGTTCTAGATGGGAATGAATACATCCTGATATTTGTAACTCAAATACCCTAAGAAGAGAAATTACCTGAATCAATTAATTGTCTTTCTTGCAGAAGTACAGCCCTTTCCAGGTTTTAGCCAAAAGTATTGTCAGATTCAGCAATAAAAATCAATTTGCCTGTCTTGTTTTAATGATCAGAGATTTAGACAAGTGAATAGACACAAAGAGAAGCCGGAATCACTACATCTGTGAATTAGCAGAGAGGGGAGTCTCCTGCCATCACAACAGCAGGAGCTATGGCTCGGAAAATGATTCCTGGACACTAGGGAAGGTAGTGGGAGGGCAAAGCTATTAAAAACTGTAGATGTCAGTTACAGTAACTCAGAGATAGCTGTTCTGCTACAGATCCATCCCAAGCCAGCTGGCCTGCGCAGGAAGCTGAGTGTGGCTACTCGCTTAGAGGGGACGAAGGGTAGGAAGGACTTCCGGTTGGCCGAGACAAGACCGTGTCACCACCAACACTGTACAGAGATTTCTTTCACATGTGCCATGAAACACACATAAAAACATGGCATTCAATGCAATGCATGGTATGTACGGTGTGTCTATCCTTCTGGCTCAAGTGTAAGCATTTTAGGGCTCGTGCTTTATCTCTGTGGTTCTCATATTCCTAGAACAAAGCTGATGCTCCCCAAACCCCTCTTGGATTTAAGAAAACTCATAGACCAGCAATCCTTTGTAACATCAGCTGTCATAAATTGTTCCATGCTTTGGAGAACATCATGATTTAAGCAACAGAAAAAGACGTAAAAATTGTTGAGATCTATAATTTTCTTAGTGATTTTCTCAACACTCTCAGAGAGCACCTATTTCTGAGATTGTGGCAAGTGGAATGAAAAAATTGCTTGAAGACTGGAAGGTGGCAGCAAGAAAGAGAAAGTAGAAGAGGTACAAGAAATGGGGACAGAGATGAAAAGCAGCAGGATGTATAAGAGTCCGACAACCTGCAAGAATGGACAAAGGGACTTTGAATGTTGCTTTAATAATAGCAAGGAAGAAAAGATGAAAATCTTCAAAGTTTTTGTTTTGTGCATATGAGCGGTTTGTCTGCATGTATGTATGTATACTACATGTATGCAGTCCCCACAGAGGCCAGGAGACAGGACATCAGATCCCTTGGAATTGCAGATGTGGGTGCTGGGAACGGAACCCAGGTCCTCTGCAAGAGTAGCCAGTGCTCTTAACCCCTATGTCATTCCTCCAATCTCAGCGGCAGTATTTTTAAGCAAGCACTATAGTCTGACTTCTAGCTAAGAACCAGGTACATCAATACCATTTTACACAGATGTGCAATAAACATTCCTCGCAACAATTCCATAAAGCAGACGCTATTCTATTCACTTTATAAATCAAGAAAACAAGGCTCCAAGAGTTGACATAATTGAGTTGCATCACATAATTGAGCACCATTGCACACATAGTAAGTCTCAGCATCAGGCTTTAATGATTCTCTATTATTTCAAGCTACACCCATTTTCAACACCGATTTCTCCCTTATTAAGGCTGAATTGTGTAAAGGGGTTGGCCTTTGATCTCACCAGAAGCTATGTCTCCAGAGTCTTCCGGAAAATCTCCTTTAGGTGCTGTCTTGCCAGCATCTGAAGGCGGTTCCTGTAAGTAAACTTGAAAGTTCATTTCCTAGATAATTGTATACGAATTTTTTGAAAAAGAGCATTGATTCTCATATCAGCCAACTGTCCAGTTCTTCACTGCCTCAGGAGGCAATATAGGAGTTTTATATCATTTAAAATAAAGGGTGTAGTTATTAATCCATTTTAACATAAAGAACTGGGGTAAAGAAGAGTTACACCCAACTGACATATATAGAAAGACCCAAAAATACCCTATCATGTGTTCTCTAGGCCATATTTGAGTACACCTTGAGTACCCCTTGGGTAGTGTTAGCAAATTGACTTTAATAATGACCTAAAAGCCTAACATCACTAGAGTCTACCTGATGTCAAATGTCCTAGCCCCAAAGCAAAGAGCTTGGACAATCACTAACCATTTATAATGAGTGAGTGGTCTTGCTCCAATATATACCTAGAACCTAGGAATGTGTACTTGGGGCCTGTCTGAAGGTCTAGTTAAGAACCTCAAATGCTGTCTTGCTAGATTGGAGAGGAACACCAAGCTAATAAAACACTCTTCCTAAGAGAAGCAAAGAAGAAACAGAGAGAAGAGGAAGATGGGTGGGGACTGGGGTGATCCATTTGCTAACAGGCTGAGAGACACAAGGGTAACCAAAATCTAGGGGGAAAGCATACAGAAACTCCTCTCAGCGCCTCCAAAGGGCCCAAATAGCATTTTGATGTCCCTCACTTAAAGCCATATTGTCATTTCCTGAATAAATGTTATACAACCCTCAGGACACTACAACACTAACACAATTTGGGGGATATAAAGGAAAGCATTACAAAATGGGCATCAATGAAAGACCAGGCAAATGTCTTACCTTGTCACCAAAGGTAAACTAAAGAAAAGAAGCCAGTTTATGCCAATTTAGATAAAAAATCCCCCAGAAGGCAAACAACCCTCCTTTTTCTCTCTGAAACTCACAGGTCCTCTTCAGGGTCCAGTTCAGGAGATCCTCAACTAGAACTACATGAAGTGTGGAAGCAAGCTTTGCAGCTGGGGCTAAAAATCTTAGTTGGACACAGAGATGTTTGAGGACAACTGTCCTGAAGGCTGTCAGGCTTAACTCTCCTCTTTGAGTCCTTGGAGTTTCCCAAATGATGCTTGAGAAAAGCCAGCTGTCACAAGACATGATTTAGGTGGCACAGAGGAGTTCTCTCTTGATGGTGAAAACACTCCTGTATATAGCAACCCGCTGTAATGGTGTTATTGCTCAGGAAGAGGATAAGTGAAAATGCAAGGTGAAGCTACTGAAGAGTTAGTGAGTAGGAGGCTGTTCTAGTATGCTTCTCTGTTGCTGTGGCAAACGTCATGACCAAAGGCAACTTGGGGAGAAAAGGGTTTACCTGACTTACACGTAACAGTCCATCATGAAGCAAAGTCAGGATAGGAGCTCAGATGAGAACCTGGAGGCCACAACTGAAGCAGGGACCATGAAGGACCACTGCTCATTGGCTTCCTCCCCAGGGCTTGCTCAGCCTTCTTACACGACCAAGGACCACCTACTCAGGGGTGGCATTATATACTGAGACCTTGTCTCAAAAGCAAGCAAACACAAAGTAGGTGAGCTTTGCAGTGCAAATGTTTGGAGAGAGGTTGCTTTGAATTTGCTCTTTTGACAATACAGCTCATTCAGCCTTCCTCCATCTCAATTATTTGTTTCAAATGAAATGGAATCTTAGATAGACAACGTTGCCCTGGTACTGGCTAGGTAGTTAAAGATGGGCTTGAACTCCGTCTCCATCTTTGGAGTTTGGGGAGTACACAAATGTACCACCATATTGAATGAAATCCGGACTCTTCGCTAGTTATTCCAGCACTCCATGGACTAAGCGACATGTTCAGGCATTTTAGATGAGGCCAGACCCCTGTGGAAAAATTCACATTCCCTGAAGAAGGAAGGGTGACACAGTGCAGCCTTTACTCACGGGGCTGTCTCAGAGTTAAGCCTCTGCCTGAAGCTACATGGAAAACCAAACGAGGTCAGGAGTACTGCGATCCAGGAGCTGGACGCGGGTGAAGAGCGGGCTGTGCACAAAGTCATGGAGATTTCCGCAGCAGCCCGGTGTTCTGTTGATTTGCTTTCCACCCAACGAAAAATGGGTCTCCTGGTGAAAACCCCTCAATCAAAGGTAACCAATACTTCCCAGAGCTCAATAGCTCACACCACGCAGACCAGGGAGCCACCTGGGACCTTGAACGAGTAAAAGGGACCCAAGACATCAAAGGGGCCAAGCCTCCTGTCTCAGGTAAGCATCTAAAGAAGCCCAGGCACGGAAGGAACTTAAATGACTGTGACAGCTATCCACAGAGACTTTTATGATTATCTATGTGACTAGGAGTCACAGAAACCACGGTCTTCTTCATTCATTAGATGGTTTCTCAGAGGACTGAGAGGATGTAAGGAGAAAGGCTGAATGGGAGGGGGGTGAGGTGAAATTCGTCATAGGAAAAGGTAATGTCCCTCGCAGCTCGCCTTTAGGAGGGGCGTGTGCACAGGACTCACAAAGATGTGAGAGGAGAAACTTTGACGGTAGGGGGATGCGTTCCCCTGTGTCTAAAAGAAACCTCGTTCCCACCGCACACCCCTAAAAAAGTTCACCGCACCACACCTGCCTTCCCCAGATGGGGCTCCCCGCGCAAACGCCTCCACATCCTCCAACCACGGTGGAGGCTCCACCCTCGTCAGAATCGGGTGCCGTCGTAGCTCCTGAGCGCCTGTGCTGCCAGGCGGCGGGGGGAGTGGGCCAGGCTCTCAGCCATTGGTCCGGTGGCCCCGGAGGGCGGAGGGACGCCGCCGAGCCGGGCACAGCCAGCTAGGTGCCCACTCCCACTGCGCCCACCGCCCGTGCGCTCTGCTCGCGCTCCGCGCCCCCGCGCGGTGCATTTCCCGGGACCGCCGAGCGGGCGCTCGTCGCCAACACAGGGCCGCCGCCCCACCTCATCGCCGGAGTCCGGATCAGCAAGTCAGTGAGCCGGGGCACAGGAGTGGGGAACTGAGGCGAACAGGGCGCGGAGCAATAGCAGTGGGCTTGTCCCCAGAGAGGGCCGCCGGGACGCCCCGCCTAGGGCAGCAGTGGGGTCCCTTAGCTTCGGGATTCCTCATCCTGACTCTCCTGGGACTAGCAGAGATTTAGCTCCTTGCTATGGAACGCCTCTCGAATCTTTCCTTTTCTTAGCTGGACACATCCTTAAGGTCCCGAAGCAGGCCCGGAAGCCCAGCATCTCGGGGTCTGGGGGAGACTCTGACAGCTTCAGCCGGGTCCACCAGGGGCTCGCCACGCAATGTCCTTGGCCCTAGGATGACCCGCCTAGTTCCCGAGCACAGGGAGTCAGGAAAGTCTGCCCTCCGGTCCGCCGCTGTAAAGGTTGATTCCTCTGCCGATAGTTTGCACTTTGTAACACGTTTCTGGTGCCTTTTGTGTGGGTTTTGCGGTGTGTGAGCATTTTGCTTTGTTTTTAGGGTTGTCTGTTCCTTCCCGGGGAGTCGCCACGCGCACAGGGACGACTGGCGTTGCTCTGGGCTGTAGTCCCTTGAGTCTTCTCGCCTGTCCTCCGGTGGCTGCAAATTCGGATAAGTTTTTCCCGCTGAACACTTGGGTTCCCCAGTGGAGCTTTCTTAGCTTCCACACCCTCCAAAACAGGGTAAGTAACGCACCCTAGACCCTTCCGCTTTCCGGTGAGACCGCCTTCAGTCCTGCGCCTTTCAGGCAAGCGGGAGGTGCGAGCGTTATGGGCAAATGCTTGAGTTCTCATTAAGACGGGATAATAAGCAAGGCACCCTCCTCCTGAGAGGAGAGAGACACTTTCATTCACAGAAACGGCTTGTTGAAGCCCAGGTTTGTGCACTGTGCCTGTGCGCTTTGCCGGCCAGACGCCAGGTCCCGTGGGCTCGCTTGGGTGTCAGGTTCCAAGGACTGGGTCTGTCTCTTAATGTCCTCCGTTTTCTCTGCTGCTTTATTTTCCTGGGGAGAACGTTCTGCTGGAACACTTGAATTCAGGGGGTCTTGTCTAGCAGTCCTAGCTTAGAGGAAGGTCAAAACCATCATATTGGACCTGGCACCCCTTGCAGGTACCCAGAGCAGGTGAATGGGCAACCCTCAGCCCTGTGCTGAGGACCTCCAAGGTACTGAAGGATGTTTGCTCTAGGGTGCTTTTGGCTTTCTATTGCTCCTACTCGTTGTTCAGACAATGTTCAGACATCAGGAAAAAGGCAATATTGCTGGCTCTTCTCTTATAATGTTTGCTTTGTGTGCCATCCTACTGCCCAATACCTCGTCCTCAGAACTGTAATAAAAAATTATATTTAATTCTCTTAGTTGGCCAACTAGATCATAAATAAGATTAATTGTGATCTAGCTCACAGAGGGTTTTATATATTGGTCTGTGACTGACTGTGACTCATTTCTATTGGAAAGACTTCTTGTCCCCAGCTAGGACATACACACAAGGGACAACATTTAAGGGAAGCAAGGTGAGGCGCTTGTTGGTGAAGCTGCCCGGTGGGACTACAACCTGATAGCTGTGAAATTGTGGGCAAGGTGGAGAGGCAGAAAGACCTGCCCACTCGGTTAATACTCTGGGGCCATGGAACTCCAGGAAGCGGGTAGAGCATTCTATTTCGTGTTTTGAGTTAGAGGGGGCAGGGCTCATTTCTCATCTTTATTCCCCTTCCAAATATATATATATATATATATATATATATATATATATATATATATATATATATATACAAAATTCTTTGAGAACCAACTCAGAGAACATTCCTGGCTGTCGCCAAAGAAGCTTAGTGTAAGATAAGATGGATTCCATTCTCTTTTGCTCCTGGTCAGTTCAGCTCACCAGATTTTACTGCATGTTTGTGAGGGCCATGAGTAGATCTCATGTCAACAGATAACAACTGTGCTGTTGGGCATGGCATCAGTGGATTCATCTGCAAGTTCTCTGAGTTCCTCTTCCTGTCCTCCTTTATCTTACTCAGTGAGGAGGATGAGCCAGGATGGAGACGATTGGTCACCATGGTTAACTGTATAAGTGAGTCACTGAGGAACCTTGGAGTTATCATTCATTCATTATGAGACTGAAAGATGAGCCCATCCTGAGTAAAATTCTCCCATTCAGTTATTTCCTGCAGCATCAGTTTGGGGTTCACTTGATAATAGTTCTAAACTCACTCTCCTCTCTAGCGTTCCTATTTTATATAGGGATTTTTTACGTTTAACTTATTACCAGGAAAAATGATGAGAGTGGACTATACTGTATTATCACATTACTGTATTAATATAAAGGCATCATAGGACCAAGTTTTTTTTTTTTTATCATTGCTCATAATGAACGTTAAAGGAAAAATAACAAAGCCTTTTGGTTAGTTCACAGACTAGAAAATCCAATGAGGATGCTCACGCTGTAACGTGCATGATTAGGCAGGATTCTTTCAGACAATATGTGATGTGAAGAATGCAGCCAGTCTGAGGTGAAGTTCTGGGCAAACCTACACAGCTTGTCCTTGATTGAAAATCAGTCTGTCTGACCATTCACTGGCCATTCCAGATGCAGGATGGAGTGGCACAGAGCCAAAGTCTGTGGTCCTGAGCTCTGATTCTGATGTTTGAGATGTGATCATAGGGTCACGTCTCATTCTGAGACTGTTGCCTCCTGATACCTGAATTCCTTCCTCAGGAGTTCCCTAGGAAATGTGACCATGCTCCTGCTCACACCTTGAATCCAGTTTCTCATTTAACCAAGGTTGGCAGTGAGAAGTGTGAGAGAGAAAGAGAGACTGACTTGGCTTCCTAGCATCCAAGAAACCACATCCACATTGACTGCATCTCTGGTTTGGAATGGTACAGCCCAGGCCAAAACCGTGTGAGCATTGCAGAGCTCTGAATTCTTATCAGGAAGTGAACATGTCATTAACAGATCCAAGTTCTTAACCCCTAAATTCACATCATCGTTCAGATAGAAAGTCAGTTCAGCTTGAAGCATATATCATGGAGCTGGTTGTTTGATATTGATATTATTGTAGACAATAATGAAAAGCTGTGATATGTATCAGCCTATAATAATTACAAAAGGGGTCACTTAAAGATTGAATTCAACTTCTGATGGAAAACAATAGCAGAGGCGGCTATAATCACCACTTTTCAAATCAGAAAGACAGGCTGATGGCCAGTGTAGAACACTAACTCTAACATGGTGATATACAAACTTCACAAGCATACCCTTCCATTTCTTCATTACCTGTCCTCAATGATCAACCAGATAAAGACTCAGACTTGTTAGTCACTAACAAAACCCACATCTGCTTACGAGGATATATGTGCAGATCTTACTTCGTATCTTAAAACTTAATTTTATTGCTACCAATAAATTCTTTAAAAAATACAGGGGGAGTTCATGCATATTCTGAGTAACTATGATTTTATACAGAATCATTTATTCAGTCAGTGAATATCCTTTTGCTTGTAAAAATAGAATATGTGCTGTCTCTCCAAGAAGCTTCAAATTTTTTTCCTGTTTTATTCGTTCATTCATGCAACTGTCAAGCAAATAACTCATCGATCATATACAGGTATGTTCTGTGCCAGTCCGTGGATAGCAAGATAGGTGAAATATTGGTCCTTCCATCCGGGGATTCACAGTCTGTCTAAGCATACGAACATGTAGATCTAACTGGGATACTGAAATGTATAGATGCTTATACATTTATAGGAGAATGCAGAACATAGCTTGAGAATACAAAGCAGGGAGCTGGAAATTTGCATGGAATAGTAGGTGGAGATTATGAGATTAAACATAAGTGCTGGAAAGTTAGAGCAGCTTGGCATGCCTGGGACATCATTCTTAGATGTAATGGGGGAAATTATGTTGGAAAAGTAGCCTCTGACTAGATAGTAAAGAATATATAATATAGGACAAATCATATCTTTTTTGGCTTTTAGTCAAGATGGTGTATAAAACATGTGCACACGAAAACAGCCTTTTCCTGACACAGCAGGAAACTCATGTGAACTCACAGAGACTGTGACAGCATACACAAAATGTGCAAAAGCCGAAACCAGACAAAACCCTTGCACAAAGGTGGGAAGTGGGCACAAAGCCTCGCCCCTGGCTGAGAAGTATTTGCAAACGATAGCTGCTGGAAGAGGAAAAATCAGATGTCTTCAATGGGAGGACACTGGGCAGATCAACCACACTTCAGCACAGGCAGGCCTCATGGCTGGAAGTATTTAGCCAACCCAAAACAGTCTGTTTATTTTTTAGTGACATTTTTAAAATTTCATTTTCTTTTAAAGAGAAATAACAGAATATTGGATGAGTTGTGGAGGTAGATCTAGAAGGAGGTGAGAGATGGTAAAGAATATAATAAAAATATACTGTCTTCTCCAAGAGCAAACAAGAAAAATGAATTTATGTGATTGTATGCACATAATATTTTATCCTTTCCTGTATGCAGTAGATAATTAATGGCTCCTTGTTGAATGACTATTGAAAAGTATTGCTTTTCTGAACCAAAATCAATAGCCCTAATTTATATGATGGGCTGTTTTTTTAACTTTAAGCTACTTTTAATATCATTACTGTCTGCCACTTATTCCCTGAGAAGCCATTTGTCCCTGTTCAAGAATTTTCTTGTGCTCTAGAAGCTCATCATATTTCATTTCAAGAAGTATTTTACTTTTGGCTTTTTTTATTGGCAGGTTATTATATTAGTATTAATATTACATTTGTATATTAATATTAATATATACCATATTAATATTAATATACAAAGTCTTAGTGAACACATTACATTTACAATATATGTGGCTGCTGTTCAGAAGTAGGCTTCTTACCAGTCATATTCTTGGAGACCCATCCCAAACTCTGCTGTCACCTTAGAGTGAGATGTTGTATTACTTACCAAAAATAGATTATGTGGCGATAACAACTGAGTGTTTATCCACTGTTAATGTTAATGGCATCAGTGAGGGCTTAAGAATCATTCAGGGACTCTTTTTTAATTTATTTATATTTTTGTTAATTACATTTGATTCATTTTGTATCCAAGCTATAACCTAATCTCCTCCCATGTCCTTCCCCAAGTCCACTGATAGGGGTAGTCCTCCTCCCCTTCCCTATGACCCTAGCCTATCAGATCTCCTCAGGACTGGCTGCATTGTCTTCCTCTGTGGCCTGGCAAGGCTGCTCCCCTCTCAGGGGGAGGTTATCAAAGAGCCAGCCACTGAGTTCATGTCAGAGACAGTCCCTGTTCCCATTACTATGGAACCCACTTGGACACTGAGCTGCCATGGGCTATATCTGTGCAGGGGTTCTAGGTTATCTCCATGCATGGTCCTTGGTTGGAGTATCAGTCTCAGAAAAGATCCCTTTGCCCAGATATTTTGGTTTTGTTGCTCTCCTTGTGGCCTTCCTGTCCCAACCAGGTCTTTCTCTCTTCCCCTTCTTTCATAAGATTCCCTGCACTCTGCCCAAAGTTTGCCTATGAATCTCAGCATCTGCTTCAATACCCTGCTGTGTAGAGTCTTTCAACAGCCCTCTATGGTAGGCTCCTGTCCTGTTCCCTGTTTTCGTCCTCTTCAGATGTCTATCTCCTTTGCCTTTCTGAGTGAGGACTGATCATCTTACCCAGGGTCCTCCTTCTT